AGCAGCAGACCCGCGCCCTCCTGCCAGCAGCGGAGGCAGTCCCAGGGGCCGGGGGGGCCCGGAGCTAAGCAGGGGAGAGGTGGAGGCGCGGACCGCCAGACTTCTGGAGGGGCCGCGGCGGGGCCCCTCCCTCTGGGCAAGGGCACAGCGGTGCGGACCAGCCGGCGCATGCTTTCCGTCCTGGTCTTCGCTGGGCAGAGGAACCGGGAAGGAGAGGAAGGAGAAAGAGGCCTCGGTGGTTTAGGTTTTCAGAGGAAGGAGTAGCGGCTTTGAGGGAGGGAGAACCTGGATTCTGTAAAGACACAGTGCAGGCTGTCTAGCAGCAGCTGTCGGCAGTGAGCTCCGCCTTCCCTCTCCTCTCCTCTGCCTCCAGCTCCCCGCACAGAACAAAAGCATAGCCAGCAGCTCTTCTGCTGGGACACGTGGACCAGCCAGTGGCCAACTGTGGAAGGGCCCCCATCCCTGGCGTTTGCCACGCTCGTCCCTCAAGACCCACGCTGGGGCATCCCTTCCCACCAAGCAGGTGGCCCTCCAGTAACTGGGAAGCACAGACTTAACACATTGGAGTGGGACAGATGTTAGCTTTTGGAAGCCTCTAGTTTCTCTTTGCAGGGATGGGGTCTTGCTATGTTGCCCAGGCTGGTCTCGAACTCCTGGGCTCAAGCAGTCTGCCCACCTCAGCCTCCCAAAGTGCTGGGATTACAGGTGTGAGCTACTGTGCCGGGGCAAGTCTCAGCCTACAGGGTGATGGTGCCAGCCAAAGTTTCTGCACGGACAGCTCAGTGTCTGGCTCACAATCCCCAGTAATAGGGAGGAATGGGGGGAGCAGGAAAGCCTAGTCTCTCCTGTTCTAGACAAAAGGAGGGTCCAGGCAGGAGGAGAAAAAGGGGATGTTACCAAGCCACAAGGAGGGGAGCCAATTAAAAGACGCGCACAGGTGAATGCCAGCAGAAATTCCAACACAAGACATTCCAGCTTGCTTTATTGTCGTTTAAAAACAACTTTTAAGACACGATTATCTCTGCCAAAAAAAACAGACCCAAGGAACTGGGACCATTTGAGAGTTCTGTGGAACTTGCCTCTGGGACTCCCCTGGGCCCTGGCCCAGCTTGAGGTGCCAACCTCAGGCCAACCCAAGACTCCAGGGCACACCCTCCAGGTCCCTCCTGAGTGCCTGTGGCATCTGCTCGTGGTTGGGACCGACCACGTCAGGTCAGATGCCCATTTCATACCGGTGCGTGGAGAGTGACGAGAGCAAACCACGACCTGAAGGGGAGGAGGAAGGGGCACCCCCACATTGAGTCTCTCCTCTCCTCCGAGCTTCTCTGGCTGGCTGCCCCTTTGTCCTTTCCCTTCTCTGTTGAAATGGCTCTTTGGGAAACTGGGGGGAGGCTGAGGGAGGGGCTGGCCGGGGCAGGGACCAGGGAGCCGAGGACTTCCACCACAGTCTGATTTTGCACAGCCTCTGGCTTCAGTGAGAACCCAAACATCGGCGGGAACAGCAGTTAGAGGGGCTGGAGGCCCCGGGAGGGGAGGGCTCGGGGCTGCTTCTCAGGCTGGGCCAGAGGCAGCTCATCCTCCCCCTGGGTGAGCTCAGGGAAGGGAGGGGTGTTGCCCTGTGTCTCCCCAGCCCCTATTAACCTGTGATTCACCAAGGAGAGGGAAATCCAGCTGGGTGGGTAGGGACACCAGCCTCAGTCACTGTCCGAGCCCACGGCAGAGGACCCTTTTCGTTTCCGCTTGGTGGGCTTCGGCTTTGTGTCTTCTTCCTCCTAGAGGAGATGGAGGCGGAGAAGGGAAGTTACTCCTGGATGGCTGCTGGCCGCAGCCCCCGTCCTCAGGGCGGTTCCTCCCTCGTGCTTGTGGGGCGCTCACCGAAGCGCTGCTGGAGCCTGACTCCTCCTCAGCATTGGGGGGCTGCGTGGCATTCTTCCGACTTCGAGGGCTGGACAGAGCTGCTTTTCGCCGGCTCTTGGGTGGCTTGGTGGAAGAGTCCTCGTACTCCTCCGCCAGGGAGAAGAGATCACTGAACCTAAGGGGAAGGGGAGGTGCTCTGAGTGGTGCTTGCTGGACTGGGCAACTCCCACCCTCAGGACCGGGCCTTTCCCTTCACCCCTGGTTCTGCTGGCCATTAAGTCTGTGTGTCCCCGGCAGGCCTCCCTCCCTTAGGCCGTCTCCACACCACTGCTCAAGGCCAAAAGTGGAAGGAGCCTCACTTCATCTTGTGGGCTTCATCACAGCTCGCCTGGACATGCTGCAGCGCCTGGAGGATTGGGGTCTGGCTAAAAACTGGAGTGAGAGCAGGAAGGGGAAACAGTTACAAGTCTGGGAGTGCAGTGGCACACTCACAGCCACCCCAGCGTCGCCCTGCTGGGGTCCGGTGATCCTTCCACCTCAGCCTTCCAAGTAGCCAGAACTACAGGTGCACGCTACCACATCCAGCTAATTTTTGGTTTATTGTAGAGACAAAGTCTCACCAAGTTGCCCAGGCTGGTCTTGAACCTGTGGGCTCAGGCAATCCACTTGCCTCAGTCTCCCAAAGTGCTGGGATTACAGGCTGAGCACCGAGTCTGGCCCTAATGCTGTTTTATTCACAGAGCTTGGTTCTGGCCCTGGGTATTCTGCCCCTGCCCCCAGCCTGGCTCAGGGGCGGTCTGAGCCAGGGTAGCACTGGATACGCTGGACTCCGAGAGGGTGAGAAGGCGTACAGTTCTGCTTGGTGTTGGTCAGGTTGAGCCGCAGGTTGTCCAGGTGCTCCAGGATCTGCTCCAGGGTTAGCTGGGCCAGCTTGCTGCTGGAACTCCTCAGGCTACGCGAGGAAGTCACAGGAGCCAGAGTCAGCTTGGGGGGGGGGCAGGAATGCGAGACCCCACCAGGCCCCTACGAAAGAGGCAGCCCACACGGGAGGACAGGCAGGCTGGAGGCTGGGAGTAAGGGCGGTATGCCTAGAACACCCCAGCTACAGGGCACGAGGAGCAGAGGGGGGGAAAGCGCCCCGGTAGTCCTGCATGCCGGGTGGCTTCGGACCACTAGAGGTCACCCACAGCCCAGGCAAGGACAGCACTGGCCCCACCCCCACAGGGCGCAGCCCACCTCTGTCTCTTGCGAGGCAGGCTGTTGTTCTTGATGAGCAGGGACTTGATGTGCTCAGCCAGGAGCTCGTCGTGCTTCATGCACCAGTGCCGCAGGATGCTGGTGGTGAACTGGTCATCAGGGTGGCAAGGCCGGCTCAGCACCATCTTCACCATCTCCTCGCTGGGCCTGGGAGGGGCCGTGGTCTGTGCTCACACAGCCGCAGGGCCTGCTGGAGCTCTCCCGCACCCGCTCCCCCTCCCCTCCAACCCTGCCGTGGCTCCTGCTCTCACATCCCTCTTGCTCTTCTCTTTGGGCCAAGGAATGCCTGGTTTCCTCCTCTGTGGAAGCCAGAGACGAGAAGTGAGACTCTTTGTGTCTGGTGGAAGGTGTGTGTGTATGTGGGGAAGGACCACCAAGTGGTCCCAGGACGGTCAGGAAATGGGCCGGGGAGGCAGAGGGACAAGTGTGTGGCGTGTGGATGCCCAGACCCCTGCCTGGCCAGAGCTGTGGGCCAGTGTGGGATCCAGCTCCAGGAAGGGGCAGGGGAGAGGGCCATGAAGCCATATGCCCACACAGCCCTCCAAGCTCCCCACTTGCTCCAGAACACTCATTTCTATGTCTCAGGCAAGAGGAGAAAAGGCGGAAGGAAGACAAAAAGGTAGGAAGAAAAAGACACAGCTGCTGCCCTGTGTATCTGGGGCACAGATGCTGCTACAGCTGTGAGGCAAGCAGGGGCTTCTGCCCTCTCCTTCCTTGCCCCGCCCTGGCAGGACGCAGTGGGTCCCACTGGCTCCTCTGAGCAGGGTGAGGGAGAGGACAGTGTGTGACGCCTCTCCCCTGACCCTTCCTCCTCTTAGATTAGCCATGTGCGGCCTGCAGGAGCATGGAGGAGGGGAACAGGAGCCACCAGGGATTAGAACTGCTGTGGCAGCAGGAAACAGGGATGTCCGGTCCCCTCCCACCTCCGAGGGCAGCTCCTGGTGGGCAGGGGGGTAAAGTCGAGAGGAAGCTCAGATCCCAGGGGAGCTGCTTATTTGTAAGTCACAATGGGGGAAGAGCAGAACAAGCAGATGTCAACGACAGGAAAAAACATGGCAAAGGGAGCAGGACAGAAGCCCTTTATACCAGAACAGCTCCTGACATATTGGGGCTGAGGGCTCAAGGGCCCCTAGGGTGGAACTCACTTCTCTCTTCGGAGCTGAAGCAACAGGCAGGACAGGGCCTCTGGGTGCTCTGTGAGGGAAGGGAAGAGGCTGTTCATGAGAATGTATGATTCCAAGAAGGAATGTGGGCACCTCTCTCATTCCCAACCAACAGCCTGAGGGAGCAAAGACAGTCTTCAACGAGGAGCCAGGAAGAGCCCCTGACCCCTATCAAGTCCTGGGCCCCTGAGCCCCAGCCCAGTGCCTGGCTTACAGCAGGCCGCAGGCATCATCTGAAGAGCAAGAGTGGCTGGGGAGAGCATGCCCCCTGCACCATGGTGGGAAGGGGAGCAGCAGATCTGGGACCATCCCAGCAGTCTTGAGGCCTCAGCCTTGCTGTAGCTGGATGGCGGCATCCTGTTCTACATGCTCCCAACCCACAACTCTACTCACCCTTGTATTTGAGGTGCTGCAGGATGGGGATTATGGTCTCCAGGGGGATGTTGTGGGCCAGGAAGAGCTGCCAGGCACAATACTGCTCAAAGGTTTCCCAGTCTAGGCTTTGGACTAGAAAAGATGGAAGAAACATCTCGCTCGCTCTCCCACGCACACACAGCTAATCCACTGACTACAGGCACCCCAAGCAAGGAAGGCACAGAGGCCGGAACAGTGACCCTGAATCTAGACCCTCTCCCTTTCCACACAACGCTTATTTCCAAAGTCTTCATACAGCTTCCGTATTCCCATCAGCCCTGAGGTCAGAGGGGCCAGGTAAGTCATCCCATTTTAGAGTAAAACACAGATCCAGAGAGATACTGCCCAAGACCACACAGCAGGTAGAGTGACATTCTGTCCCCTTGTGAGTGGGAAATACCCAGGGCTGACATCCACCCCCATCTCCTCTGCCAGGTACCTAAAAGGTCTGGTCACTTACTAAGTATGTTGAGAACTGAGTCTTTTCGAAACATGACCAGGTTCCCCATCATCACATGGCAGACCAGCTCCTGGAGCTAAGGAGGAAGAAGGAGGCAGAACCCATGAGCTCTACAAGGGGCTAGGATGCTAGGATGGAGGGAGAGGCAAGAGAACTCATATGGAAGGAAAGGAGAGGAAGTGAAAGCCAAGTTCAAAGGGATGGGAGGAAATGGACACAATGACCGCTGTGCTCTCTGCAGGATGAGGAGCTGGTAAAGTAGCAACAAGCCTGAGTGGGACCCACAGGCCTGCTTTGGGCAAAGATAGTTACCAGTAACTACCCCACCCTGACGACACAGGGTGACCAGGCAACACCTCCGACTTGCTTCAGTCCAGCCTGAGGTGGAGAAAGGATCCCGAGGCCGGGCTTTGGACACAGATGTGGGCAGGGGAGTGACAAAAGAAGTAGGACTCAAGAGTGCTAAGCCCCCTCTTTTATGAACGGGAAGCGAGTGGAGAGGAGAGTAGAAACGGACCCTGCGCAGGCCTGAGAGGCACCATGCAAAGCTTCAGCCTTCCCGTGTGTGCTGGGAAGGGCAAGCAGACCATTTTCATTGCAAGCCGAGGGAAAGGTCAGTTGAGAGCTAACAAAAAAATAACTCCTTCAGTTTTCCCCAGGGAAACAGGAGCATCCAAAGAACATGGAGAATAAGGGACATTCCAAGCAGCAGTGGCCTGACCCCATCCTGTCTCTGTGGGCTCCACTTTTCCTTTTCAGTCACCACAGCCTGAAGTGCGCACACTACGTGTAGCCAGGAGGCAGAGTCCTGTGGGCACCGGCTCCCTGTCTGCAGAGACCAGAGGCCCTCACGCCCCCAGTGCTGCCCTCTAGGCCTCTCTGGGTATATATCAAAGCTCAGTGTTCACCTGCGCAGAGTCAATGACAGCCACAATCATGTTTAGCAGCTCTCCGCTCCTCAAGGTTTCATCTGGAAACTAGATAGAAAAAGAGGGAGAGTCCAGGGTGGAAACCTTGGCATTCATATCACAGCCCATTTGCCTTCCTTATCACATGCTCAGGGTCTGGTTGGGCCTGTCAGACACAGTCCTTCCTGTAAACCCCTCAACAGAAATCCGACAGCTATGAAGCTGGAAGATTTCAAGAACTTGAAGGCCCCAAGTTTTGCTGTTTATGTATGCACACAGTGAGGGGCGTGTTGTGTGTCTGTGCATAAGGAAAGGAATGGGGCACTATTCAGAGATAAAGCCAGAGCTGGAGGCCTGGATGAACTGGCTGGTTCTGCATTTACATTTACATCCCTGGCAGCAAAGACATCCAACCTGGCTGACCCTTGGCCAAAGAAGAGACGATGTAGATGGAGCATGTCCAGGGGTAGGCAGGGCCCCAGGTGGAGAGGGGGGTGGGGATGGACACACCCTGTGCCTGGCACCTGGCCCTCCCCCAGTGCCTGGCTGAGATCACAGTTCCTCCTGTCATGCCCACACCCTAGGTTTTCATTTCTCTCTTCCTGGGAACTTCTGCAGAGGAAGAAGGGCCAACACCTCCTACCTCCCCACTCCTAGACAACAGTGCGAGTGAAGCAGGGACAGGAGTGTGTCTCTACCACAGAGGTCCTGGGCTCTGGAAACCATGAGAGACCCAAGAGGGAGTCATCAGAGGACAGGAGCACTTGGGAATATGAGCAGGACTCTGGTCTGAGGGACCTGCCCCAGGTCCAGATGATGGGGCTCAATCTGAGAAGCCAAGTATATGGGCTGAGACCCCAATTCATACCACACTTAGGCCTAAGGGTAGGAATTCTGCAAGACTCAGGAATTGTTCAACTTCTAGTAAAGACAGGTTGAAGGAGGGGATCACTGTGGTGTGGGAAGCAACGGCCCGCCAGGGTAAGTGGGCTGGGCAAGGGAGGGTCAGGGCTGTGTATGACACTCCAAATGTGACTGAGGTGGGCAGTTTCCCATGAGTCTCCTGCACTGCTGCCCCCTCCCCCAGATACGGATGGAAGCACCAACCTCTGTGTAGATGGAGGGTGTGAGGTGGCACAGCAGGCGCACGTCGTCCTCTTGGCAGGCCTTCATGTCCATCATCAGGCAGGTGTGCAGATCGCCCAACTGAGTAGCCTGAGCAAACGACTCATACAGGTTCATCTTCCCTGCGGCGGCTTTGCTGCAAGACGTGGGGTCTCAGCTAGCAACCTGACCCAGCACCCACCTTTAGACATCCCAGCAGGCTCCCACTCAAGTTGCTTCATCTGCCCTAGGTGCCCTGTGCTATTTGACCTCATGTCTCCTCCGCTGCCTTCCCCAAGGGCTTGACAGTTACTTAGGGCACCAGGAGACATTCTTCTTGCTCCCCATCCTTCGCAATGCTCCAGATATCGCCTCTGCAGAATCACCTCTGACCATATCCAGTGAAGTGGTTGACTGATCAGAGTCGAGGCCAGAAGAGGCCAGAGCGGGCTCAACTCAGATTGCAGAAAGCTTTCTCTCTTGCTTTCAAGGCCCTAGCCACAAGGGCAATGACACCTCACACCGTATACAAAACTTAAAATGGCTTACAGGCCTACACGTAAGAACTAAAGCCATCTAACTTTTAGAAGAAAGCGTAGGAGTAAAACTTGGTGGCATCAAAAGCACGAGTGATACAGGAAAAAACAAATACATTAGACTTCATACAAATTTGACACTTTTGTGTTTCAAAGGATGCCATCAAAAAAGTGAAAAGAAGCTGGGCACGGTAGCTCATACCTGTAATCCCAGCACTCTGGGAGACAGAGGCGAGAGGATTGCCTGAGCCTAGGAGTTTAAGATCAGCCTGGGCAACTTGGCGAGACCTCATCTCTACAATAAATTAAAAAAACTAGCTGGGTATGGTGGTGTGTGCCTGTAGGTTCAGCTACTTGGAAGGCTGAGGCCAAAGGATAACCTGGGCCCAGCAGGTTGAGGCTGCAGTAGCCATGAACATGTCACTATACTCCAGCCAGTGCGACAGAGTAAAACTGACTCAACAAACAAACAAACAAACAAACAAACAAACAAACATACCACAGATTGGGAGAAAATATTTGCACATCGTATATCTGATAAAGGACTTGTATCCAGAATATATAAAGAACTCTTAAAAGTCAACAATAAAAAGACAACCCAATTAAGAATGGGAGGCTGGGCACAGTGGCTCAGTCTGTAATCCCTTTGGGAGGCAGAGGCGAGAGGATTGTCTGAGCCCAGGAGTTCAAGATCAGCCTGGGCAACTTGGTGAGACCTCATCTCTACACTGAATCACAAAAACGAGCCGGGCATAGTGGTGTGTGTCTGTAGTCCCAGCTACATGGAAGGCTGAGGCAGAAAGATTGCCTAAGCCCAGCAGGTCGAGGCTGCAGTGGCTGTGACCATGCCATTGCACTCCAGCCTGGGCAACAGTGAAACAGTGTAAAAAAAACCCCAAAAAACAAAAAAAGAAAGAAAAATGATTTGAAAAGGTATTTCTCCAAAGAAAATACAAAAATGGGCCAGGCTCAGTGGTTCAGCCTGTAATCCCAGCACTTTGGGAGGCCAAGGTGAGTGGATTGCCTGAGCCTGCAGATTCGAGACCAGCCTGGGCAACTTGGTAAGACCTCATCTCCACAATAAATTTTAAAAAATTAGCTGGGTGTGGTAGCGCATGCCTGTAGTTCCGGCTACTTGGAAGGCTGAGGCGGAAGGATCACTGGAGCCAAGCAGGTTGACGCTGAGGTGGCTGTGAGCATGTGTGCCACCGCATTCCAGCCTGGGCGACAGAATGAGACTCCAACTCAAAAAAAAAAAAAATACACAAATGACCCATAAGCACAACATCATTAGCCACTGGGGAAACGCAAATCAAAACACCCACTAGGATGGCTAGAATCAAAATACCTACGATAACAAGTGCTGGGGAGCCTGTGGAGAAAATCAGAACTTTCACACACTGCTGACGGGAATGTCTAATAGTTACAGCCCCTTTGGAAAACAGCTGGGCCAATGTAAAAATTCCTCACTGATGTAAAAACAGTTTCTGTATGACCTGACAAGTCCACTCCGAGATATGCACCCAAGGTAACTGAAAACACATGTCCACACAAAAACCTGTACATAAGTGTTCACAGCAGCTCCATTTCCAATAGTGAAAAAGCAGAAACCAGCCCAAAAGTCCATTGATGGACAAAGTGATATACGGAATGTGGTATATCTATCTGTACACTGAAATATTATCTGGCCCCAAAAGGAATGAAGAACTGATACATGTCACCACATAGATGAACCTTAAAACCATGCTAGGTGAAAAAGACAAAGTCACAGAAGATCACACATTATACGACTCCATTTATCTGAAATGTCCAGAATAAGTAAATCTATAGAGACAAGAAGCTGCCAGGGGCTGGGTGAAGGGGAGTAGGGGAAAGTGACTGCTGATGAGTACAGGATTTCTTTTTGAGGTTCTCATTTAGACAGTAGTGACAGTTGTACAACTCTATGAATGTACTAAAAACCACTGAATTGTACACTTTAAAAGGATGAACTTTATGGTTTATGAATTATATCTCAATAAAGCTATTATTAAAACACACACACACACACACACACACACACACGGAGAGAAGGCCCAGGTGAGGACAGCCAAGGGTTGTGTGCAGGAGGAGAGAGACTCTCAGGATGCTTCCTGACACATTGGAAACGTGGTGCCCATACTTACCTGGCCCTCAGATAGTAGAGCAGGTGATAGCCAATCTTGGGCTGCTTCTGATACAGCTCGGAGAGAAGGTCCAGAAGCAGAGAGAAGCTGCTGTTGTCTTCTTGCATCTGGCACAGGTTTCTGGAGGTGGGATGGGAGGAGAGGAACAGAGCTTTGCACAGAACAGGCTCTCCTGTGGAGTTCTGGGTGGTATGGGCTCTCTGTGCCCACTGCATACTCCTCTTGGAGAGGGGTCCCGCTGCCCCAGGACAGGAACACATGAATGATGCTGAGAGAATAGAGGGCATCCTACAGCTGGTGCTTACCTGAATATTAGGTAGAGAGGCTTTCCTACAGACTCCTCCAGGGACCTACAAGAGGTGGGTTGCATATGAGAGTCCACAGGAGGGGAGGGAGGTGGGTGGCAGGCTTATTACAGAGGACCAGCTTGAAGTTAGATGCCAGACTGCTCCTTTCCTACCCAAAAGGCAAACTCCCTGCTGCCCCAGAGACTTGGTGACAAAGAAAACAGGTTCCTAGCATGGAACCACAACCTGAGGTTGTCATCCTTATTGAAGGTGACACCCTTGCCATTCAGGGAGAGAGTCTAGGCCAGAGTCCAACTGTACCTGATTCAGCAAAGGCTGGGGCTACCATGCCCAGCAGCAGGGCTGGAAGCACAAGGAGGGGATGCTTGTCCACCTCCCTAGTACACACGGTGTTCAGCAAGCAGAAAACCCTTGCTTAAACGAATCAGTACATGTGAGAATAAAAACACTAAGAAAACAGATTATTTTTCTCAAATCCACAGCAGGACGCCCTTAGAGCATCTTGGGCTGTAAGAGCACCCTTCTGGCTCCCAGGGCCCAGGTGGTCAGGGAAGGTGAGCCTTACTCCTCAGTAATCTCTTCGGGCAGCACCTCCCCTCGAAAGTGAGCCTTGAAGAGCTCCTGCAGGCAGGAAGCAAGGACAGACAGCTGCTCCGAGTCAAAGTCTTCCTGGGTGATGAGACAAGGGAGGGAGTATCACTGCCTAGACCCAAGCCTTCCTGCCCCACAAGCCTAGGGCCTTGGAACTCATTTGCTTCTACCTCCAGATCAGCACGCTCCCCCTCCTCCACCCGAGGGGACATTTCTGGAGAAGGGGAAGGAGGGAGTCAGCTTCCCTGGGAGACATCTGCCTGGGAGCTCTAAGCCGAGCAGGCTGGGCTGTTTCCTCCCTAAGGAGCTGGGTTCCTCCTCACCTCCAGGACCTGGTCCACGATTTCCTGCATGACCTCACACTGGGCCTCCGTATCACTGCAGGACAGAAGTGAGAGGAAATCCCAGGGACATAAATGATAGCAGAGGGCAGGACATACACCCAGAACAGTGTGCACAAGCACGCTCACATGCACAGAGACAACACAAAGGAGCTCTGTATAAATCCTGGCTTGGGTGGGGGAGGCTTTAGGGCAGAACTTGCTGCTCTCTGGGCAGAGGCCCAAAGAAAAGGGAAATCCCCATCAATCCTACCCTGGTTCTCAGAGGCTCTTCTCCCCAGAATGTGTGGAGCAGAGACCTGAGGTGTTAAGGAGATGAGGCTGCCCCACCCCGGCCCACACTCCCCACCATCAACTGCAGAAGAAATCCCTCAGGAATCTTCAATTCCCTCTCCGTGCCCTCCCCTCACATCTCCCTCCAGCCCCCACCATGCTGCCCCCCCCCACTGGGCACCAGGTAGAAAGCCTCCCGAGGCTGAGAGTGGAGTCTACACCCACCTCCCCTTCTGCAGCTGGAGTACTTTGTCCCTTAGGGACTCATCCAACTGGTCAAGGTAAGGAGTGATGTCAACCGGCTCCTCCACAACTGTCTCCTTGATAGGATGGAAGCGAAACTCTCTCTTCTTTCCTGAAGGGACAGATTAGGGAAAGAAGTCGGTTTGCTCAGGCACCAACGACCAACACCAGCCCCCTGAACCACCTGTCCCTTTCTCACATGTTTTAAGTGTGCACCCGTGCACTCAATGCTGCGTGAGTGCTAAGGCGTCTCCCTGAATGTGCACGTGTCCTAGATCTTACAAGCAAACAAGGGCAGGAGCCAATTCTTCCCTCCTTCCTGCCTTCAGTGTTAGTGGTACATGCACAGCTCTGCCCTCTGGAGTCTCATTCTGTAACTCACAGGTATAAAGGTGATGAAGACTGCAGAGGCTGCTCCTGAGAACTGTCCTCTGGGGTTGGTGCAACCCTGACCTGGCCCTTACTGCTGCCTCACCTTTGCTGTTGAGATCCTCCTCATCGTCACTGAAGGCTGCCTCTGCATTGTCGTAGCAACTCTCATCCTTATCTGACATGTGGTTGTCCATCTCCATGGAAACCGGCTCCTCAATTTTGACTTGGGAGTAAAGAAAGACAAGGCATTTCATGGCCTCCTACGTTCCTTAACATGCCCCAAGATTCTGGGAGGGGAGACTGGAGGGCAAGTGGGAGAATAAGGAATTTACAACCTAAGTGGAATACTGTCCCTAGGAGGACAAACTCTTGTCCTCACAACCTCCACAACCTGCAGGGGAATGTTGCCAGGAATGAGAACAGCACAGGTCATGGCTCCTCCATGCCCAGCCCAGGATTAGTGACTAGAGTAAAGCCAGGGAGAGTCCCAAGTGCTCTTTAATTTAAAACCAAGTTGGGCTATACTACTTGGCTTAAGCCCTTATCACGAAACAAACAATTGGGGGGGAGGCATGGGGGGCAGGGAGATGGCAGTCTGTATTGGGAGCAAGATTTGAGACCCACCATAACAACCAGGCCTAGAGCTGGGAAGAGAGAAGTGATAGGCAAAGTTAAAGTGAGATAAACAAACATTACATGAAAGCCTTCTACCTACTGAGAAGGGGTTAAGAGAAAAATTAAGATTAAGAGAGCAAGAAAGACAAGCTAAAGTCAGATCAGATTAAGTGAAGAGAGAGAATCAGGAGAGACAACACAAAAAACGAAAAGAAGTAGGGAAGAAAACTGTGATGGACAGTGTCACAGAAGGACAGCACAGGGGCGACATTCTCTCCTCAACAGGGTTGTTAAGATCCAACAGCCTCAGATGTCTCACCCGCTTTGACACAGGGGATGGAATGGGAAGCTCCATACCTTCCACAGGTGGGGAGGGTGAGCTGCAGAACTCGGGAAACTTCTCTCGCAGCATTGCCCGCAGTTCTTTATCCAACTTAGGGTTGTCGAACAGGGGAGCCAGGTGTCTAACGGAGAGCACGAAAGAAGGTCAATATCAGAGCTCCTCGTCTCTTACTCAACACGGACAGGGCTAAGCCCTGTCAGTACAACTGGGCCACACTCAGACCCCGGGAAGAGGTCAACAGGAAGCATGAAGCTTACCGAAGCCCTCGGTAATAGGATGGCAAGAGAGGAATTCCTCTGAGAGTAGGAGGACACGTGCCTAGCAGTCTGATTAGAGCCAGTACTCTTTACACCCGTCAAGGGAAAGGGCCAGCAGTGCTATGGCAATATCTGAATGTGCCTCAATCTAATAGAAAATGGAAAAAGATCCTCTCCAGCCCCTCTGCAAATTTCTTACGCCAAGACCCGTTTCTCCACAATGTGGTTGAGGGAGGAAAAGACACCCTGTCGCACATGGCCTTCCAATGGTGGATAGAAGTTGGGAATGATCTGGAAGGGAAAAAGGGGAGGAAAGAATGAGTACATGACTCTCCAGAGTGATCCAGTGAACTATATGTAAAAAGCTGCCTTGGCTTTGACTAGGGTACACTGGGGAGTGCAGCTGCAGACAGGACTGCAGTTCTTGACTGTGCCAGGTCACTAAAATGGAAAACTCACTAGATCTGGCTATTCTTCAAGGAGGCTAGATTCTACCTTGAGTCATCATCCCTGTGGGTGGGAAGCCCCATGGAAACGTGGGAAGATCCAACAATGGGAATATGGAAGGGAGACATTCACTAACATGGGGGACAGGACCCAGGACCACTTCTGCTCCCACAGTCAAGGGGCACCGAGAAGACCTGTTCACTGGGAGGGTCAGGGAGATAAGCTTAATTCCGCCCATCCAGGCATGGGGAGAAACAAGGGTTCTGACACTTACACGGCACATGAAGTCCAGGAGCGTGGCAGTGATGGCTGGGTGGGGTTTCATGGAGTGATGCATGACCAAGATGGCTGGTTCTGGAGATGTGGGATTCAAAGGCCCCCCCAACACCAGACAGTCAGTTTCTACTTCCAAAAAATGAGATGTCAGCATACATGGATGGCTCTAGGGACTGCTGTGTCTATCCCTCCCATTCCCACTGGGTAGAACCAAGAGCAGACAGCTCCCCAAACAGCCCTTAGCCCTCCTCTCCCCAGCATTCAGTTTGAGGGGCAGTAGAAGGAGGAAGAGCAGAATGTGGTACAGTGTTGTCCTCTGGCGAGGGCCTCCCTCCCAAAGCCCAAGCAGAGGCTGTGGGGAGAAGGGGGCGGAGTGACCGCTGAGCCTCATCAAAGCAACTCTCCTTCTAGGTCAAGGGAGAACTGATGAGAAACAACGGAACTGCTCCCAGATAAGCTGCCTGCACGCCACGCTGCCCTGAGATTTATGACTGCTATCACTAAGATGAGGCAGTGGGCGCTTGGGGATGGGGAGTGGTGCTGCCTGGTCTCGGTCACATACCTATGTTCATAATGCTATCCTTGTCTGGACTAAAGAACAGCCAGTCGTAAAACAAAGCCAGCTTGGCATTAGAGGCAGCAACATTTGACTGGAAAAGAGAGGGGAAAAAAAGAAGGCTAGTTTCTTTTTTTTTTTTTGAGTTGTAGTCTCACTTTGTCGTCCAGACCGGAGTGCAGTGGCATGCTCACGGCCACCGCAACCTCCACCTGAAGGGCTCAGGCAATTCTTCCACCTCAGCCTTCCAAGCAGCTGGAACTACAGGTGTGGACCACCATGCTGGCTAATTTTTTTTATTTATTGTAGAGACGAGGTCTTGCCAAGTTGCCCAGGCTGGTCTCGAACCCCTGGGCTCAGGCAATCCTCTCACCTTCGCCTCCCAAATGCTGGAATTATAGGCATGAGCCACCACGCCCGGCGAGGGCTAGTTTCATTGACCAGCTCCTTCCCTTCAGAGGTGCAAGGCAGGTTCCAGGGCCTACTTGGCTGCTCCATCTATGAAATTCAGTTCCTACTGAGGCAGTGTGGAAGCCCCACAGGGGTAAGGGATACTGGAGTCTGCTGTGTACGAGGGTGAGTACCCTGTGGTCTTACCAACCAAGGGGAGGGGATGGGTCTGGGTTCTTCATACATCCTGCAGTAAGTATCTCTGATCCCCAAAGGGAGAATGCTTGGACTCAGAAGTCCACTGATTACCCCCGAGCTGAAGCAACACTCAGACTAGACCCTGGGCTTCCCTTGCTGGGCTCTCCAGGCACATTCCTGAAGAAGAGACCCCCTAGGAACAGCCTGTTGTCGTATCTGAATCAGCACATTCCAAGGACCCAGTCAGAAGTGGGAGGAGGAGGCCAGTCAGAAGAGGTCAGGGGGCAGCTAGATGCCAGAAGTGGATAGTTTCCTAGCCCAGGCACAGAGAGGAAAATGATGGGAAGGAAATGGCAGAGTCACTACACTTAGAGAGGGGAAATATCCAAAGCTGATGCCAAAAAGGCATGGAGGTGAGGGTCTAAAGAATGCAAGCTCTGAATCTGAGAAAGGAACAATTCAAGGAATAGCTATATGTAGTTTCGGGAAACGAAACGAAAAAGGCAGGGATGCCTAAAAATTCCAGTCTTCTGGGGTTGGCAGAACAGATAAACCTGTTCTCCCTCAAACCCAGACGGGAAATGCGTGTGAGTAAATCTGTAAGACACAAAGGGAGGTGGGGCAAAAGCTGAGATACTCAGGACCAGCATAAGAGGAGGGCCCTGGAGTCAGGAAGAAACACAGAGATATGGGGAACATGATGGAAGAGACCCCTTCACCCCCGACAGCCTCTGCCCACAGCCTCGCCCTCACCGTGCATGTTGTCAGGAGCCAACCAATGATGGCCCACCGAGGCAAGATATCTGAACTCAGTACTTCATTAGAAGGGTGGACTACCCCACAGATGTAGCGAATGAGGTCACAGCGCAGAGACTGACTGTCTGGAGTTGACAGGTACTGACGCTGGAACCAATCCTGGTATCGCTTTTGTTGACCAAACCTCACCTGGGGAAAGGGTTTTGGAAAAAGAACTTAGAAGATAGGTGGCTTCCCTGGACAGAGGAAAGCAAGCACCGTTCAACTCTAGGCTTGGCCTTGCCCTCCATTTCTTCCCGTAATTTATTCATCAGCTCATGCTGTCCCTCAGGTCTCCCCCCTCCTTTGGGAGGACTTCTTGAGTTTTAAAAATGTTGAAAGTTTCTAGCTTGCCTCATATGCTGGGGTACATTCATTTTTGCCACCGACCTGATGCTGTCTCACCCTCCACTGCAGTCCATTTCTGGCTTCCTACCAAAAACGGTACTGGCCACTGACTCCTCAGTCATAAATATAATCTCTGCTCATTTTCTCAAGTCACTGGTGAACAGCAAGGAATGTTCCTCAAGAGCAAGAGCTAAGCCTGTTCACCACTCAGCTCTAACTGAGCGCTTCCTGCTGCTGAACCACCTAACAGAACCACTGTCCAGGGCACAGACTTGCCCAACCTTCTTGCAGCAAGTCCTTTCCCCAAACAGACCCTAGTTGACTACAACAGTAATACCAAGTAAGGAAGAGGCTCTGGTTTTCCTCTTCTATTTCTTTTTCTGTCAGAAGAACTGAACCAAAATATAGCAGAAAGGTACATTTATTTATTTATTTATTTTGAGTTACAGTCTCACTCTGTCGCCCAGACTGGAGTGCAGTGGCCGCTCCCGGCCACTGCAGCCTCGACCTGCTGGGCTCCAGTGATCCTTCCGCCTCAGCCTTCCAAGTAGCCAAGTGGCACGCACTACCATGCCCGGCTGATTTTTTTTTATTTATTGTAGAGATGAGGTCTTGCCAAGTTGCCCAAGTGGATCTCGAACCCGCGGGTCAGGCAATCCATTCACTTCAGCCTTCCAAAGCGCGGGATTACAGGCTGAGCCACCGAGCCCGGCTAAAAAGGTAAATTTAAAAAAGCAAAAAGATACCTCTAGACCAACACTGTCCAGAACTTTCTGCAACAATGGCGGTACTGAGCACCTGAAACATAGCTATTATAACTGAGATACTGAATTTTTAATTTTTTTTGAGATGGCATCTCACTATATTGCCCAGGCTGGTCTTAAACTCCTGGGATGGCCAGGCGCAGTGGCTGATGCCTATAATCCCAGCACTTTGAGAGACAGAGGTGAGAGGATGGCCTGAGTTCAGGGGTTTGAGATCAGTCTGGGCAACTTGGTGAGACCTCGTCTCCATAATAAATCAAAAAATTAGCTGGGCGTGGAGGTTCCAGCTATTTGGAAGGCTGAGGCGGAGGGATCACCTGAGTCTAGCAGGTGAAGGTTGTGGTGGCTGAGCATGCCACTGCACTCCAGCCTGGGTGACAGTGAGACTCTGACTCAAAAAAACCCTCCTGGGATCAAGTGATCCCCTCACCTCACCCTTCTGAGTAGCTGGCATTACAGGTACACACCACTGAACCTGGCTCTGAATTTTTAATTTTTCTTAATTTTAACTAACTTAAATTTAAATTGCAACACACAGCTAGTGGCTACCGCACGGGACAGCACAGATCTAGTCCTCTTGAATAACCTGAGAAACCAAAAGTTGGCTAGGGCAGCAGTTCCCTAAGGCCAGACTGGCTGCAGAAGAACTGCAGATTCCTCAGTCAGGTTCTCTGGGAGAGTGAGATCCAGGAAGCTGCATCTTTATTTATTTATTTATTTATTATTTTTTGAGTCAGGATCTGTCACCCAGGTTGGAATGCAGTAAGCACAATCACTGCAGACTCAAACTCCTGGGCTCAAGCAATCCTCCTGCCTTAGCCTCCAGAGTAGTTAGAACGATAGGTACATACCACCATACCTGGCTAAATTTTGGATTTTTTTGTAGAGACAAGGTCTTACTATGTTGCCTATGCTGATCTTGAACTCCTGAGCTCAACCAATCCTCCTGCCTCAGCTTCCTGAAGTGCTAGGATTACAGGTGTAAGCCACCACATCCGGCCGAAGCTCTATCTTTAACATGCTCCTCGAGCAATTCTGCCATAATTCAGCCAGGCGTGGAAGCCAAAAGCCCAAAGTTCTCTCTTCCTGAGAGCTCATAGTTTTCCTGGAGCAATCTATCCTTTCACACTTCTAAATATTATTTATATACAATTATTGGTTTAATAACTGCTTAAGACAGACTGAAAGCTTCTAAGAGCCGGAATTGTACCTCTCTTGATCTTTTTGTTTTTTTGAATCAGAGTCTCACTCTACTGCCCAGGCTGGACTGTAGTGAAACAATCATGGCTCACTGCAGCCTCAACCTTCTAGACTCAGGCGACCCTTCTGCCTCAGTCTCCAGAATGGCTGGGATTACAGGTGTGCGCCACCACACCCAACCAATTTTTTAATTTTTCTTTTCTTTTTGTAGGAACCAGGTCTTGTTATGTTGCCTAGGCTGGTTTGAGAACAGCCTAAGCAACATAACAAGACCTAGTTCAAGCAATCCTCTTGCCTCAGCCTCCCAGAGTGCTGGGATCATAGGCACAAACTACTATGCCCAGACACGGAATTGTATCTCTTATTCAACACTATATTCCCAATTCTTAGTACCATGCCCAATGTGCAGGCAAAGAATGAACAAAGAAAGCAACCAGCAGCCTGGTAGATTAGAAGCATCCATTTAACCATTACTCCGCTGGTCAGTACTCACTGGTTAACAGGTCCAGAAGAGTAAGAAGTCAGCCAGTACCTGCGACTCCTGTTCCTGCGGCGATAGGTTAGCTTACCCGGGATGTCATGAAGAGGAGCTTAGTCTCCATGTCTGGAGTTAGACGACATGCTAGGAATTTTCGGGATGTCCTTGACTGAAGCAGCTGTAGGATACCTGAGATACATATAGAAGGGAAGAGAAGAAAGGGAAGCTTGAGGAACAGAAGGAATGGAAGGCAGGTGGGGAACCTGATGGCCAGTGGTCTTGCTCATGGGGAAATTCTAAGATAAGACCAGGCATACTGAGTACGGGCACAAGTGAGAATTCTAACCAGTATGTGTGCGCTGCTCCAATCAACCACCCACCCAAGGACCTGACTATACGAAACCTTTCTTCTGCTGGCTTTCCAGAGCCCCCACCCACATAGACTCCAGTTGGCAACAAGAGGGAAAGCTAAGGCAAAAATATAGAAAACCCTAGCCTCTCTTCCTGTTCCTAGTGGTCCCACCATGGGGTCCTGGGTTCACTGTGGTGTTTGGCATGAGCACGAGCTCTGGAGTCAGAAAGGCCTGGATCTAGATCCTGCCTCTGTCACTTACTAGCTGTGTGGCCTTGGGCAAGTTACTTAATCTCTTTAAACCTCAGTTTTCTTATATGTAAATGTGGAAAGTAAAATATCTTGCAGGGCTGCCCTGAAGATCAGAGTTAACACACATATGCCAAACATAATGGAGGCACTCAAAGCAACTCAATACGTATTCAATACAAGAGTAGCTCAACGTAAGGCAGCCCCTGTACTTTCATCTCCTTTCCTAACTTCCCAGGCCTAGACAACTGCCCTCAGTTTGTGTGTGTGGGTGCATGTATATGTATGCACACCCATGTGTACATGAGCACATGTGTACATGAGATAGGGAGCAAAGCTATACAGTTATTCTTCAGACCATAGCAGGACCCTGGGAAGAGGAAAGGGAAGTAAAAAGGACCTTGTTAGAGGGAGGCACACAGAAACTCTTTCCTTTCCCCAAAGAGAACTCTGGCAAAGTTGAAATCTTGGAATTAGAGACAAGACTGCTCCCAGGGAGGAGACTTCTTTTACAGGATTAATTCCAGCCCCTCTGCTGACTCAGTCTCACGAGTTGACCTCTGACTCCCCTGCCGGACTCAGTGAAGCTGGAAACTGGTCATTGGCTCACCTCCTGAGCCAAGGAGCTGCTGGGAGGAAGGAGGAGGATCGCAATCTCTGCCTCACTTTTTTCTTAGTACTTATGACAGATGGAGTCTGTCAAGTAGGGGCTGTCTAGGAACCACAGGGACTGTTCTGTACCTGCATCATTCCCACATCTAGCTGAACCTGGCAAACCAGCCCTGTCCCAAGTTTCCTAAATCTGACTACCAAAGACTCTCCTACCCACCAGCCTCTATAAGGAGGACATATGCACTGAATCCCAACCTCTCAAGGACAGGATGCCCAGACCCTTACTTACCTGTGAACTGAGGACTCAAGGCCTGAGGATTATGGATAATATCTTTCCAAAGCAGTTCAAATTCTGGTATCCTAGCAACATTCTGAAGTAGTCTTACGAGGTCCCGACCAATCATCAAACATTCCATGAACTTGCCGGGGATGGGGTGGGGGTGGGGGTGGGGAGGGGCCAAACAGGAAAAAGAATAAAAACATGGTTTGTTTACCTGCTGCAGGGAGGACAAAGGAACAACATGTTCTAGGGAGGGAAGGAAAGAGGGTCAAAGGGACTATATGATTTCTTCTGGAACCAAAGGATTGGCTCCTAGCTGTTCCAAGAGATATGAAAGCTGGGGACTGATATCAAGGATGAGAAGTTACTGGGAAATGCTGAAACCCTGCTGGCTTTCACATTAATCTACTCTCCTCTCCAGAACTCCTTTGATCCAGATCAAGGGAGACTACAATTCCAAAAGGATGGGATTGGCAAGTTGAGCCCTAGACACACTACCCCAAAGCCCTAGACACACTACCCCAAAGCTCATTCTGTCTAAGAGAATTCTGTGGCAATAGAAACATTTATATCTGTGTAGTCAAATGAAACCCATTAGCAATATGTGACTAACACAACTAAGGAACTAAGTTTTAAAGTTTTATCTGGCTGGGTGTGGCGGCTCACACCTATAATCAGTCTGGGCAACTTGGCAAGACCTCATTTCTACAATAAATAAAAAAATCAGTCGAGTGTGGTAGCACATGCCTGCAGTCCCAGCTACTTGGAAGGCTGAGGTGGAAGGACAGCCTGAGCCTAGCAGGTCGAGGCTGCACTGGCCATGATCATGCCACTGCACTCCAGCCTGGGTGACAAGAGTGAGACTCTGACTCAAATCAACAAACAAAAATAAAGTTTTATCTAATAAATTTAAATCGCCACATGTGGCCAGTCGCAACCATATTAGCACAGTTCTAGGATATCTCTCTCGGGAGATGAGACAGTAGACAATCCATAATCCTATTTGACCATGAGAATTACTCATGAGGGTAGGTGGGCCCACAAAGACAGCCTGTGTCTGGTGGACAGTGGTGTCTGGGAAGCTAATCAGGGAAAGCCCTAGGATGCCAATGTAACAGGTAGCATTTCTAAACACTGGGGTTATTCCACACAGATTCTCCCTCCCTACTACCCTCTCATCTGTCAAAGAATGATGAAAAACACCACATCTTGATGCTCCTCCATCTCTAACAAGGTGTCTCTGACCCAGGTGCACAAAACCTAGAGAGAGGTATCCCACCCTAGTCTCACATGCCTTCCATGTTTTTGTCCTACTTCCTCACCCGTTCCCGAAGCAGTGAGATGCAGAAGTCCACTTCCTTCTGCCGCAGGGCCTGGAGCTGGGCAGTTCCATGGTGGTCAACGATGAGGCGGAGATATGTGTAAACAGCCATGGCAATGAGGATGCTGCTCTTCAGGACCCACTCCCTGCAGGGAGGGAAGACACTGGTTCCTACCCCTGCCCAGACCAATTACCCCCGAGTCACCCCCCTGAGCTTAGCTCCAGTGCCTCAGAATTGACTAATGATTAGACACTGGGAGTAGGTTGTATTTTTTTTGCTTGCTTACTCATGCAATCATGATCAATCTTGGACTATCAACTGCCTTAAGAAGGACAACTTCCTAATTTTTCTCTAACAGGTATCCAATAAAGATATGTGCTAAATGAAAGTGATCTCTTCGTACCACATGACTACTTAGCTTCCAATAAAACAACATTGTCTATTCATTCATTCAAACATTTACTGAGTGCCTGCCATGTGCCAAGCAATGTGTGAGGTACCAGGGACAGAGATAAGCCACAGCTTCTACCCAACTCAGACTATGGGGAAAATTGTGTAAGTGTTCCTAAATCAGTAGTTCTTAAGTGTGGTGCAAGAACCTCTGGGGACTGCCAAGACTGTTTCAGAACCTGGAGTTTTTAGAACATACTGTGCTAGCCCTTCTATCTGCCTGTCATCAGCAGCCCACCATGCCACAGCCTTTCCCTGGCTCTTTCTAGTCACTGATCCCACTCCCAGACAATGAGTCACCTACCCTAAATCACAATCTGAAAAAAAAAAAAAAACCCACAATTTTGGATGGCAAAGCCCATTTTCCCAAGAGTTTTAGAATTTCCCTGGGGAAAAGAGGGGTAATGAAAGAACTGTTTATACCCTACTGCTCTAAAATGGATAAAGAAAGACACAGTAAGGATATTCCTAAAATTCTAATGCTGTCTCTGAGTGCCAAATTTGGGAAGTTGTCTCCCCCAAGCAAACAGTTTGCAATGGCTTTGGCACCCCTGCTGGAAGGCAGGGAACTGGAGGAAGACATGGAGTTTAATTAATCCAATCAGGCAACATCCTGATTCCGGAAAAGTGCTCAAGCCACCTAATTAAAAGACGCTGGCTGGGCCTTTTCCTCTCACAGAATGAAAGTACTGGCCAAGGTCACTAGGGAGGGTCCCCCTCCCTCATCTGCTACTGTTTTAACTCCACAGTCCTAAAAACACTTGGAAGGGAATGAGATGGAGGGTATGGAAGAGGACATAATTTTAAACTTCTAGGTATTCATTTTCACTGAAAGACATGAGTTTTTTGAGGGTAGTATACAGGTAGGCCAGTTATCTGGTTGTTATCTGAGAACTGTATAGGATATTCATCTTTAAGCTAATAGAGATGGGAGCTATCTGGCACTAGGAACAAAATGAGAAAAATCACTTCTTAGGAAGATTGCTAGCAGAGGTAATGAATATATCTGAATCCTGGGATAGCATAATAAAGAGAAGCAGAGAGAAGTGACACCCTCTGACCCAGGATAGCAGAAAGGCATAGAGACCTAGGAGAAGCAGAGGCCTGCTAAGAGACTGCTGGGGCCTTGTGTGCCAGTGTAAAGGCACCAATGAACATGTAGCTCCAGGCCCAGGAGTAGCTGCACATCTGTGCCCAGAGCACTAGGGGGCACTGCCGGGCTCTCAGGCTTAGGCAGCGTTTCGCACACAATCATTTCTTTCGCAAGGTGGATAAGGGAAGTTCATTCTTTTTTTTTTTTTTAGTTGGAGTCTCACTACATCGCCCAGATTGTTGGAGTGCAGTGG